TGCCTTGAGTGGGGACAGCAAACAGCCCTGAGGAAACTGAGGAAACTTAGACATTTTCAAAAAGAACTTTTCTGAGTGGAGACGTCAGGGGGAAAAGAAAATACAGGACAAAAGGTGGAAGGTGATGAGTTATAAAGAACACATTGCTTGTGCTAACTCATCTAAAGGCTGGGTGTTTTTCTAAAATAATGAAAACCCTTAACCTCTTTCTTATGAAAGATCCAGGCCTGACTTCAGTGCTATTTAAATCAGTTGCTGGACCCACTGCCGAAACCTGAACATGAAGTAGGCTTGGGGGGGTGGGGTGTCACTGTCCGTTTAGCAGACTCCCGATCTGGAAACAGGCACCCTGGGTCCTAGCTGCAGGGTCCCAACTTAGTGGCTGGGTTACTTTCACTGAAGCCTTGAATCTCTCAGTGGCCCCTGCTTATTGTTTGAGAGAATTTTCAGGAGGATACATGAAACCATGTATATGGAAGAGCTTTGTAAACATCAAAAGTTCTCCATTGCTGTAATGTTTCTCTGATTCCTAGTTCTGAGCATGAGACCCCTGGCCGCGGGCTCCTTGTCCTGAGCCTGGTCCCTGGCCAGGACTAAAGCAGACCCTTCCCTGTCTGAGCCCCCGAAGACTTCTCTGTTAGGTTCCAGGCCATCTGGGAGCCACTCTCCAGGGACCCCCTTGGCCCAGCTGTGATCAGCAGTCAGTCAACAAACTCCAGGCGCCATGCTAGACGTTTCTATGGCTGCAGGACCCGGGAACCACCATCCTCTCACCTGGCCTGATTCTCTTTGTCCTGTCTGATTTGGCTGAAACACGTTCACTAACTGGTTGTTAAGGTTAGCTCTATCCTTAGGGGAAGCGCGGCCTCTTTATCTGTTGTTCTGAGCCAGCATCTGGCTGTATTGTTCTGTGCGGCCATCTGGACCTAGCCTCCTAAGCAGCCCTTTGGCGTCGGAGGCAGATGTCATTATACCTTCACGGAGCCCATCTATATTGTGTCAGTGCCTTTTTGCAGCCAAAATATGACCACCCACCCCTGTCTCTCACTGTTCTGAAGCTCTCACTTTATTTTTGGACTGACCACTAAAAATGATGTTTTGCGTTCAAGCATTGCATCCCGTTTAGGCTCCCTTGCAGAGAGGATGGAGAGGTTGTGAGCTCAATCAATGATCCAGGTTGATTTGTTCGGTTGGAAATATGTGTTAAGCCCCATTTGTGTGCTCTGCACAGATGATCCAGTGATCCCCCTTCTCAGCTCTCTGTTAAGACATCCCTTGGGTCCCGGGCAAGGTCAGACCTTCCGTGATCCTAGCTCTGCAAGGCTGCGGGACAGCTCCCTCACACGTCCAATAGCAACAGTGGTCTTTGCTCACAGAGGTGGGGGGGGGTCCTTTGTTCACAGCCTTTTTTTTTTTTAATTCTTATTTTTTATTGAAATGTAGTCAGTGTGCAGTGTTAGTTCCAGCTGCTGTCCACAGCCCCTTGGGCTCCTAGGCCTTCAGGCGTGGACGCCGTGATGTGTAGCGGGGCAATTTGGAGATGGAGGCGCTGTCCTGCACGATGGAGGAGTTTCACACGGACACCATCTCCTTCTCCACAGACACACCGACGGCGAAGATCAGGCCGGACCCTCCCCATCCCCGCGAGGGCCAGAAGCTGTTGCTACACTGTGAGGGCCGAGGCAACCCCCTGTAAGAAGATCCATTTCTTGGCCTCTGACCCATGTCTACAGACCAAGACTTCACCTGAAGTCTCCCCACCTGTGTTGTCTCAGCCCCTCGCTCTCCCCGACACTAACGTCGCCCCGCCCCTGCTCGTTTCTCCTGCAAAGCAGCAGAAGTGGGGAGGGGCCGCCCCCGGCTCAGCCCCTGGGGTTCCCATAAGGAACTGAGTCACAGTAAGATACAAGCTTGGAAATCTCCCTTGTCCCCAGATTGAACCCCAAGGGGTCACCCTCCCCCTGCCTCGGAGCAGCTCGGTGACTCTGGCCCCTGTAACTTCTGGAGCCTTCACCCAAATGTCCTTGACCTCCCTGCTCCCAGTTTTGGCCTCTGTGGGTTTTTGTTGGGTTGTTTCGTTTGTTTGTTTTGTCCTCTGTTAGCTCCCTGGCTGACCCTCTCCTGACACTTGGGATTTCTCTGCCTCAACAGCCCCCAGCAGTACCTGTGGGAGAAGGAGGGCAGCGTGCCACCCCTAAAGATGACGCAGGACAGCGCCCTGATCTTCCCCTTCCTCAACAAGAGTGACAGTGGCACTTACCGCTGCACGGCCACCAGCAACATGGGCAGCTACAAGGCTTACTACACCCTCAATGTCAACGGTGAGCCCGCCCAGCTCTCCTCCAGAGACCCCCCTCCTCCTCTCTGACAGTTTACACAGCAACCCCAGACCACACTTGCAAGTGGACTAAAGGCACAGCAGCCACCACCAGGGGGCCCGAGGACTAGAGCCCCACGGCCATTGGCTATAGAATGCGGAGTCAGGAAAGCAGTGGGAAGGTGGGCTCTCCATCTGCCTTTGTGCAGCAGCAGGGACCTGATGACACCGTCCTCCCATCCCTGCGCTCCCCTGGCAACAAAGATAATGCTTCTTGGTGGTGGGGGGGCCCCAGAGCCGCTCAAGTGTGAGTGTAGGTGCATCTCCCTTTACGCCACGCAGCTCTCAGAGAGGCTTCTGCTGGGAGGAGCATGAGCTGCATACGGCTGTCCTCCCCTCCCCTGCCGACCTCGGACATGCTGTACCGAGTCTAGGGGGAAACAGATAAGTCGGTGCTATGCTGAGAGACAGCCAGACTCTTCCTCAGATGTCATATCTTCTAGAGGGACTAGGTGGTGCTCCTTCTCTGAAGTTCTTCCCAAAAGTGTGACCACAAAAGCCAGCTTCAGGAAATGTGACAGGCTAGGACAGAGGCCCCTTGATGGAGATTTGGCAGATGTTTTTGAAGACCCCTCCACCCCCCAACAGCAGTAGGGTCCTGCCAGAAAGCCTTCATAAGCCTTTTCTCAGAACAGGGGAAATGCACTGTCGGGGGAACATCAGAGGCTCCCTTACTTGGAATGCCCATTAAAGCAGTGTGGGGATAGCAGCCAGGCCTCCCGGGGATAAGGGTCCAGAGATCCTGGGACCCGAGTATGTAGATGGGGTGATTCCAGCTCCAGGGGCAGAACTCAGCACATGGGAACTGCCTCAGCACAACAAACGATGTGTTGTCGGATGCCAGGAGCAGAGACAATGCGCTGAAGCCCGGCGTCTGCCCCCAGATCTCTCCAGACCAACTCTGACGGCGATTGGCAGTGACAGGAAGTTCCTGTGCCCTTGTGGTTGGTCTCTTGCTGGTCCCCCTGCCCTGGGCAAGAAACCCGAGTCCTGTTTGGCTACATCTGTTCCCAGTGCTGACGCCTGGCGGTGGAATGAGTTACTGCATCTCCTTCCAAAACTAATCCTGAACACTGTTGACTCCCAACTGCCTGGAATGAAATTAAATGGAGCTCTACCTAGAGACAGCAACCTGGAACTGATGATCCCAGAGGTCATTTTGTCCATGGAAACCTATGCTTTTCTAGGGAATTCCCATTTCCATAGTCTCTGGGATAATTATTCAGGATTGATTTTTAACGTAGATATTATCCCGCATACTCCCTGGGGTGGGGGGCAGGGGAAGCAGTGAGTAACATCCCTCAGCTTCCTCCAGCTTACACCCTCACACCCACCCTTCATGGCATAGACACCCCTGGGACCAGCCCCTCCCTCCCAAGCAGGGCATAAAAACCAGAGCATAAATTTATTTTTCAAATAAGGCAGAGACAGGCAAGGAACTAAAAAACTGGCCCAGTCAAGCCTGAGGAGACATAAGGTAAGAAAGACAAAATGTATAAGGAGTCAATGAGGCATCAAGACTCAAGCTGAGTCTATTAAAAAAAAAAAAGAAAAACAGTAGCTCGCCCATGGGTGGGGGAGTTTTAACAACAGCTTATATAACTTTGGACACATTGGAACTGTGTCCTGGGCCTGTGCACTGTCTCCTGAGATCTGTGGGACTCTGACTCCAGCTGGCTCTCCTTGGCATGTCTGGCCAAGTCCGCTCAGGGATCTGTCCTCTCTAGATGCTCCTGTGGAAGATGGATTCTCTGTATCCAGTGGCAGACCTTGCTTCATGGGAGGAAGCAGTTCAGTTTTGCTCTTCCCACAAATCTCTGGATGGTGGGGAAGTGAAGACAGAGTCCCAGGCCTCTCTGATGAGACGTGCTAGAGGATGGGGTCCCGCTGGAACTCTAAACTCCCCTGCCAAGAAGGAACATTGTTCTTTATACAGCAAGTCACAGTCCATCGTCTTTTGTAAGGTGCTCTCAAAGTGCCTAATTCCTGGCTCCATCAGTTTTTCACTGCTTCCCAATCTGGTATCTGATATATGATATTGGGGCTATGAGTCAATAGGCTGCAAAGTCCCCTAGAAAGGCCAGCTCAGGATATCAAGCAGACAGGAGGTAAGAGGGCATGGGGAATCAGGAAGGAATACTTTGATAACCTTGAAATTAAAAGAAAGAGATAAAGGAGACAGACACACAGAGAGAGAATAAAAACAAGAGATGATTTAGATGTTAAAGTGATGATCTTTGACCAAGGTCAAGCTTCACATCCACAAATTCAACTTAAAAGGTTATATGTGAGCAGATTTATCTTGTCATTCATGAATGCTCAAATTAAAAAAACAATTACTATGTTCTAGACACCGTGTAGGAAACTAGGTACAAAGTAAGACACATCCCCTTGGCTGAGTGATGCCACTCCCTTCTCCGGATGTTAGTCCACGTTCTCTGCTAAGTAAGAGTATCTGTGACCAGGTGAGAAATGCTGTAAGATAAAGGTTCTTCCCAGATCTGACTGTGTGCCTCCCCGCCTCCCTCCAGACCCCAGTCCGGTGCCCTCATCCTCTAGCACCTACCATGCCATCATCGGTGGGATCGTGGCTTTCATCGTCTTCCTCCTGCTCATCCTGCTCATCTTCCTCGGCCACTACTTGATCCGGCACAAAGGTCAGAGGCACGAGGGAAGCGGCAGGAGAACTCGGGAGGAGTGGGCAGGGAGATGAGTCAGGGGCAGCCAGGTAGGAGCTGGCTGCATGCAGGAAGCACCTTCGGAGACGCAGTCGGCCCCTTGGAGTGTTTGAGGCAGAAAGAACGCAGCCAACCCCGGGATAACGGAGCACCACCAACCCCACAGTAGAGCCTGATCACTTGCTGATCATCCAGATCACATCAAACCTTCCCACTCAGTCGGCTGCTGCTCCCATGCAGCTCTGCCTCGGGGTCTCCTGCTGTAAGACCCAACTGCCACTGCCGAAACTCCTCATCTCCTCCCAGCCCTTCCTCCCTGTGCAGCTTCATGGCTTTTGTCCCTCGATCTCCTTGCTCCTGGTCCCCACACCATCTCTTTCCTGTTTCTCCTCTCCAACATCCCTGCCATCTCTCCCTCCCTCGGGTGCTGCCTCTAGCCAGCAGGACTCCATGGACTGGCCACAGGTGAGCCAGATCTCAACTGCGTTGTCATGGAGCTGACGTAGCAGTTTCCTCATCACCCCCTCAGGGCACACACGTGCATCTACATGTATACACACCCAGATACACACATATGCACCATTTTTTTTTGCCTGTATTATAGATGAGATTCCAATTAAAGGCAGAATTCATTCATTCCTGGGGGTGTGGTCAGGTGAGGGATGTTGGCAGCAAGAGGCAAATTAGCACAGGTCGGGGGGAAGAAAGCTCTAGAAAACTTACAGAAGCAAGGTGTGGGTGGCTGGGAAAGTGGGCGGGCGGGGTGGCTTCAGAGGTCTGGAAACTGCTCCTGAAAGAAGGGGCCTCTCTCTCCCCAGGAACCTACCTGACACACGAGGCGAAAGGCTCCGACGACGCTCCAGACGCGGACACAGCCATCATCAACGCAGAAGGCGGGCAGTCGGGCGGGGACGACAAGAAGGAATATTTCATCTAGGGGCACCCCCCAGGGACCCCATGGGGACTGCTGGGGCCATCACCAACCGGACTTGTACAGAGCGACCGCAGGGCCGCCCCTCCCGCTTGCTCCCCAGGCCCCCCCCCCCCCCCCTACCCGAGAACTACGTCTCGTCGTTCGGTTGGGTCGGTTTCGGTTTTACGTACCGGTTTCGGGTTAAGGAAGGGTAGGGG